TTTTATTCATCTTTTCCCCTTTTCTTATGCACAATGAGTTTCCCATCTAGGTTTTTCCCATTACGCAAACGTAGCCTCACATTGTGAACGCCAAGGCGGCCTAAATGAAAAGTTGAGAGTTGATTTGAGCAGGCGAGAAATGTTTGTTAAAAGGTTATTTTGATTTCTGAATAAGCCATGGAGGAAATCAATGTTGTGTGTACCGAAAGACTCGCACAAGAATATTTTATTTTCAAATCTTATCTTCATTATTCTGCCTCTCAGTCCCCCTCCAGCATTCAAAGGGATGAATTCATCACGCTGATATAGTACACTGTATATATATATATATATATATATATATATATATATATATATATATATGTATATGTATATATTTATTTACATAGATTGTGTATGTATATATATACATACATATACATACACAATGTAAATGTGTATATATATTGTGTACTATGTGTGTTTGCAGGTGTCACTATCGAGGCGAGTCACGTGATCGCCGAGGCGTCCTCGCGTCTCGCTTCCACTCTTGTGGAAACACCTTTTTGAAAAGATCGACCTTGGGAAGATGTGAAATTACTGTGTTTCTCAACTCGTGTTTGTGGCACGTTAATGCTTCCCAGTCTTTACATACGCCCCCCCCCCTCCCCCCCTCTCCCCTCCCATTCACTTTACTCTTCGCTTCTTCGCTTCCCTTTCACAGCACTCGAACAAAAAGAATGTTGGTATTTTTGGCATGCGGGGGGAATGTCTTCCACTCGGCAACAATCAAGCCATTAGGAATGGGGGGAGGGGGGGGGGGGGTATGCCTTTAGTTTTCTGTTGGTTTGGTGTGATATAGAAATCCCGGTGTTTGGGTGCATCAGGGCAGACAATAATTGGCTTCTTCTCGCTGGGGAGCGCCTCTGCTTTCATTTGAAGTCTGCCACTGTCAGTTTTCACCGGTAGAGAGAAGGGGGGGGGCGGGGCGGGGGTTGTCACCGGAAAAAAAAAACATTCTGGGAAGAGCCTCTCTAACGGGCGCCCCAAAAGGCGGAGGACATGTGGAGAATCCCGGAGGGGTTATCCCCAGTTATTTCTTCGCGCAGACCCGGAGACCTGGGATTGGGAAAAAAAAGAAAAACACCCATTGGAGCCGTTTTGGGTCTCTTATAAACACGCTCCGCGGTGGGGCACGCGCGCGAATTTTTGAAGAAAAAAAACGGAGG